TGTGGTAGAGCCCCACCTTGAAAGAATTAACTCTCGGGCGCCTGGGTGGCTCAGTTGGTTAAGCGACTGCCTTCGGCTCAGGTCGTGATCCCGGAATCCTGGGATCGAGTCCCATATCGGGCTCCCTGCTCAGCAGGGAGTCTGCTTCTCCCTCTGACCCTCTTCCCTCTCATGCTTTCTATCTCTCATTCTCTCTCTCTCAAATAAATAAATAAAATCTTTAAAAAAAAAAAAAAAGAAAGAAAGCATTAACTCTCAAAGACAAGAACCTCAAAGTTTAGAGCAAAAACTCCCTGACTCAGAACCTAGTTAATGTGTACCTTCCCTGGCCCAGGGAGGGACTCAAGATGTCTTTACACTATCTAGAAACTTGATCTGAAGAGATTGACCTATGCTCTCTGGTCCTCAGTATTCTTTTCTGCTACATAAGGTTCTGGACTCCTCCGTCTTCCGGGAAAGGGTATATAACTAAACCGTAGCAAGTACATGTGACCTAAGAGCAATCATCTTCAAATATCTCAGTGCATGACTTATGTTCAAATCAATGGCTCATTATAATCCAGTCTTCCCTATGAGTGAAGCAGGTGATGCAAGGACCACTATTTGGCAACTTAAATTACATGAATGATAATCAGAATAAGGATAGCAGAAAATGTTTACTTAGCACTCTGTGTGCCAGGCACTGTGCTAGGCATTTTACATGTATAAGTTAAGATATTCTATTCTCTGTTTTACAGATGAAGACAAAAGGGAAGTAATTTGCCCAGGGGCAACACACACAGCTGGCAGGAGGCACTGCCAGGACCCAAATCCAAGTTTGAGGATTCTCACAGCCCAGGCTCTCTCAATCTACTCTACACTGCTTCTGAGAGAAACATGAAATTACAAAGAAGGGGACACCTGGGTGGCACAGTCAGTTAAGGCTCCAACTCTTGGTTTTGGCTCAGGTAGTGATCTCAGGGTCCTTGGGCTCCACGCTCAGCGGGCAGTCAGCTTCTCCCCCTCCCCCTCTGCCCCTCCCCCCGCTCTTGCACTTGTGCTCTCTCTCTCAAATAAATATCTTAAAAAAAAAAAATTACAAAGAGGACTATAACTGACATAATCATGGACTATTAGTGATGCAAACAACGCCTGATTTATGGCAGAGGAAACTGAGGTTTCTGGAAATAAAATGACCAGCTCCACCTTTAGCACCTGCTTAGTCACAGAGCTAGGGCATTCAATCTCCAGACAACCAGTTCTAAGTGTCTCCTTACCACACTACTTGACAAAGTTGATCTCACCTGATTTATCATTACCCTAACCGCTCATGGTTGGGTGAACACTGCCTCAAAGTATGTTTAAATCACAAAACATTCACCATAACTTATGAATTTTAGAATATTCATAAAATTGATTTTTACAATGAAACTGAAGCATAGAAAATAATGTGTTCAAAGAGGAACACAGAGGGGGTATAGCTCAGTGGTAGAGCATTTGACTGCAAAGAGGAACACAGAACCACCAGTAAAGAGAAATGAAAAGCAGGTCAAGACCCTCTGTTCAGTAAAATTATTCCACATGAAAGCAGAACACATTTTACTAATAGAAATCAACTCTGAAGTGACAGTTGAGTCAATGACAACCCAAATTTTCAAATCTCATTAAGCTGGATTCAATGTTCCAAATATAGGTTGCTTTTTTAAAGGACCATTATCTCAAAAATATTTACCATTAACAATTTCCTCTTCTGTAAGTCTCAATTTTAGTATCAGTAAATTGTGATACTGAAAACCAACCCAAGATAAAAGTTGACATAACCCATGCTTCAGAAAACAAAGAACTTGAGTCAACCTTAACATCCTGTCACTGTGTTTCTCCAGCTAGAAGACAACAAAGAGGAAGAGTACCAAACAATGATAGAAATATATAGGCTATAAAAAAATATAGGTATCTATCTATGTATATAGACTATAATTCCTTCCTTTGCATGCTTACTGGTAAGATCATGGAAACATTCACATCTTTATGTAGAAAAACACTACCCATTTCAAATTAAATTATGCTTTGCAAGTGTAGGAAATAACTAAACAGAGGTAGGACAGAATAAGCATTCCTCCCTCTTACTCTATTCTATGATTACTAAATTCTAAAAGAAACCAATGACAACTCAGCATACGCTACAGCATGGGATATGGCAAGACAGTCTGGACACCACACCTGGGAACAAAGCCTAAGTTAAAGATGTAGAACTACATTCTGGTCTTTGTTTTTAAAACTAATTGATAAAACTTTTCCTATCATTTTAACTGCCAAGTTACACCACACCACAGTTCACAAATCTAGTCTAGGTCTTCATCTGATTAGGAGAACTGAATCAGCATTTTAGGGTTGCAGTGCTCCACCCATTTCATTCACTATCTGTAAGGAATGACAGAAGTGGATCTTCCTTGGACTATACAGGGAATGTCAGGTGTTCCTAGCTTCAACCATTTGCTTTTAAAGCTAAATAAGGTCAAGTTGGGATACCAAAGATAAATAAAATCTGACTTTAAAAAAAATTAAAATCAACTTCTTCCAATCACACATCTTTACCAGAGATGTTTTTTTAAAAAAAGAAAGGAAAAAAGGCTTCCTGAGGAGTTTCACATTCACTTGTTCAAATTCTGGTTTAAAAAAAAAAAAAAATGCATTCAAAACTCAGGCAGGGAGAAACAACAAGCACTAACAATCACAATTTCAAATTCCGTATTATTCCTAACCTGTACTCAAAGAACGAACCTTTCAGTCTAAAGACCTAAAAAAAATTTTGTTTGCCATGAATCAAACATGGTGTACCATTTCTGTTCCGAAATGGAAGTCTCCTCTTCCTTAGATATTAAGTTCTATATAAGAACACACCTAAAAAAAATTTAAAAAAACACTAGGAAACAATGAGTTCCCACAATTTTCAGACATACCTATGAATGTGTCCCACTGCTCAAATTGGCAAAACGGGGCTTAAAATTATTTATCAGTTAGATTCCTTTCCAAATTAAAACAACACAAAAGAGGAAACTTATAAATATTAATACCAAACCCCAATCAACTGGCAGTAAGACTATGCAAAACATTTACAATGTTTCACTTTTTAGAATGGCAGCTCTCTAGTATTTTTATGGTTGTATCTATTCCATCAAAAACACAAGGGCAGCTCAAAATATGTTCCTACCACATCTGCTATTTCAAAGAGAACAAACCCAAAGAAGTCATTACTAACAATGCAGAGGTAGACATCCATATTTAGAAGAACGTCACAAATCTAATTCCTGTTGCTGCCATCAAATATGCCCTTTTCCTTAGTCACATCCAAAGTATTTAAGTAAAGCTTTCGAAATTAACGTAACTAAAACGTACTAAAAATCGACCAACTTACTAAAACTAAAAGATCTATGCAAGTTGATTTTTTTTTTTTAATATGTGTGGGAAACTTGGTGACAACCTTTGCTTTATGTTCTGTATATTAAAACAAAGATGTACTTGACCTACAAAATGAAGATAGGGTCAACTGTAACCAAAAAACAGTATGCTTCCCCTGGTGGCCAACCTAGGAACGGAGAAGGCATGCATACAAGAGAAAAAGCCTGGTCTCCCGGTCCTATCCTGTCACTCTTGTAAATGAGAAGTCACTACCAAAAAAGGAAGATGTGGGGGAAGGGGAAACTATCAAAAAGACTAACACGAATTTAAAAGGAATACAAACCTGGGTATTATACTACACGAATTTAAGAGATTTAAATCAACAGCCTAAAATTTAGAAGGCCAATATGGGCAAGGTCATTTATTTCCAGAGTGCCCAAAAGCTCACTCAGGGATCCCTGTGTATTTTCACTTCAAAGAACACCCAGAGTTTAGTACCTTAATAACAGCTTAAGAGCAATCTCCTTTTTCAAGGACTAGATCCTTGCAATTTTCTGCAGTCTTGTTTCCAAGGAAAAGCATTTATGCATTTATTTTCTCAAATAAACTAGTGGTATAACCCACATAGATATACCTTCCAGCTCCAAAGCCCTCCAACCAGAAAGCCTGTTAACAACTCCAGTTCTGCAGAATTCTCTTTTGAATTTTATTTCTGAAACAAAACCCATATCCTTTCAAACATCTTCTGTGCCAACAATCTTTCAAGAACAGTCTCCTACGGAGACCGGCTAGAATCTCACGCATTAAAATGTGACGAATTCCTTTGTCTGATTAGATTTTTTTCTGGTACCACTTTAAATTTGCTTCCACGCAGAATAGCAGCAAGGAAAGTAAATGTTCCATTCTAGGGTGTGGGGATTTCTCGGAGGTGGCAATCATTCCTCAGGCTAAAGCCTCTGAAGGTTCTATTCTTTCACAACCCCTTCCTTCAAGGAAAACAAAACAAAACAAAAAAGGAAACACACGGACATTTACAAATAGGTCCTAAAATCAAACTGCCACGAGCAAGCCTCTCTTCCCCAGGCAGGCGCCCTCTGGGAAGCACACTTCTTAACTGATTTTGGGGGGTCGCTTTTCTACTCCCCCTCGGGCTGGGAGGGGAGTCAGGGGCGAGCAGAAGCCCGGGGGGCCGGCAGGAGGAGGGAAGGGCAAGCGCTACGACATTTGGCAGGACAGAGACGGGTGTGAGGACGTCCCAAGTCCAGGGCGCTCGCAGCACGCTAACTCTCCGGCGCTGCCACCCCGACCCCCCGGCCAGGGAGCAGCCGGCCCGGCAGCCCGGGCCCGCGGGAGCCTCCAGGCCAGGTGCGGCCGCGCCGACGCCGCCCCCCACCCCCTCCGCGGGGGCTCAGCGGGCCCGCGGCAGCGACCCGACCCCGGGCGCCTTGGGCCTCCCTCCCCGGGATGCCGAGGCGCGCTGGCGGACCACGCTCGGGTGTGCGTTTCCCTCCTGGTTCTCGCCCTGCTGTTCTCCCCGCGCACGGCAGGGCGAACACACAAAAAGAAAAGTTGTCCGAGGGCCCCCGCCCCCTCGGGTCGCGGGGCTCCGGGCCGCTACTCACCGGGGTCGAAGTCGGGCACCACCGCCTGGTACTGGGGTCCGACCCGCATGCCGCCGCCACCTGCGGGGAAGCAGAGCACGGCGGTCAGCGCGGGCGGGCGGGCGCGGGGGCGGCGCGGGGCGGCTGCCACCTACCGTGCTCCTCGTCGCTGGACGAGCCCGAGCTGCCTTCCTCCCAGGAGTTGCTGCTGCTGTTACCATTGGGCGCCGCCGCCGCCAAACTTTTATTCTGCCCATTATTGGGGGCGGCGGCGGCCGAGGCGGCGGCCGAGGCGGAGGCGGAGGCGGCGGCGGCGGCCGAGGCGGAGGCGGCGGCGGAGGCGGCCGAAGCGGAGGCGGCCGAGGCGGCAGCGGCCGAGGCGGCCGCGCTAGCCGCGTTGTTCCTCCCTCTCCGCTTCCCTGAGACCTCGGGGCCCTTCTCCACCATGGCCGGCATCGGCGGGGGCCGGGGCCGGGCGAAAGTGGCGGGGCCCCGCGGC